CACACACACACACACACACACACACACACACACACACACACACACTTAAGACCATGTTACACGGTGCAATTTTCCTTGCAACTTGCAATGCAATTCTACTCTTGAGAGATGTTAATTAGTGAAATCAGTGAAGAATTTTCGATATGTTGAGAAAACATCAGCGGAGTGTAATGAAGACTCGTATTTGGCAATTTTACATCTCTCAAGAGTAGAATTGCATTGCAAGTTGCAAGAAAAATTGCACCGTGTAACATGGCCTTTAGTAGTCAAAAAATTTCGCATGGCCCTCCAAATATCTTCCGCCCCTTCCCCGCCAACAATAATGATTGCCACTATTTCGAACGTGTTCAGCAGCAAATCGAATCGGATATACCTAAGATTTACTACTTTGTATGAATGTCGCACAATGTATTCCATGTTTCTGCGTTCCGCGTGGGTTTGTAGTGACAGAGACGTCGCACACTTTATAAGCACTCTAATATAGAGCATAATCATTTAATGTTGTTGTCCTCGATCAGTAGGCCAGAATTGGTATTTCTACGCCAGACTGAGTGAGCTCTATTAGTACAAAGTTTTCATTTGCTACTGCAAACAACTTTGACAAGGTCAGCGGCAATATATTTAAGTTCATCAAAATTGGACGTGTAAAAATCGCTAGGACTTGACGCGATATTCCGAAGAACATGTTTAAATTCACCCGCGTGCTTTGAGTTTGGGATGTATACAGTCACAATATGAACTCCTCGTTGTTTTAATTTGGCCGCGTTTTCTAGGGCCTGAGTCTGGTCATGCGCACCGCCGTCAGCCACCAGGATAACTACGTCACTCGCCTGTGCTCTGTCACCATGGTTACCTGTGAATATCTAAACAAACAGAAGAATAAATGTTAAATTGCGAAGCTCTGAGTTGAAAACAACGTTATAACTCTATCTGCTAATATAATACATAGAGGATATTATACGGCTGCGCGAAGATATGACTTTTATCTTCGAGTGGTAAAAACAATATTTTACGAACCAGCGCAGCGAGTAAAATATTCGTAAAATATTGTTTTTAACACGAGAAGATAAGTCATATCTTCAAGCCACCGTGTAATGTTCTGTTTATTATATAGTCCCAAGCAAAAAATTGTGAAATTTCACGCTCAAAAGCAAATTGGAAAAAGTCGCGTGATCGATATCTTCACTAGTGAAGATATCGAAAATATCTCACTGCAAGTTTTTCAGTATCTCACTCTCTACTATATAATAAAAGAGTATCTAGATTATGAACCAACTGCACGCACAAAAATCTCGCAGATTGTCAACAAGATATGTTCGCACTACTTCTTCCCAGTTGTTGACAAGTCTGATACAAGCTTGTTGCCTGGTTGTTATCATTTTAACAAGGTTGATAATGCCAACCGACTCACAACAATTTGTTCCAAGAAAATTGTTCCGTACGATATCGTCTGCACGTAACGAGTTGTTAACAAGTTGATGACAACAAGCTCGTAGCAACTTCTGTGTTAGTGTTGCTGGAACAACTTCTGTTATCGTCATCAACCTTGTAACAAGGTGATAACAACTTGTTCCAGACTTGTCCCAACAACTGGGAACAAGCAGTGAGAACACATCCTGGTATCGGCTTGACAGCAACCTTGTTACAACTTGTTTGCAGATCTTTAACAACTTGCGCTTTCTAACGTGTGTAGACATGGTCCAAATATTTTTTGTAGATGAGTGTAAGTAACTAACAACAGTGCCAAATTTAGAATGGGAACTCAGTTTCTTGAATTTTACTCTTCTCGAAATGTAGCACCCTGCATGAAGTAGCCATGGAAATTGGGACAACTCAAATACTTAATTTAACTGCTCAACACTGGTAAAATATTTTCCATACCATATCATTGGCGAGCCCCAAAGCATATCCTGTCATGGTCTTCAGTCCGGCATGATACGCCATTTTACTGATTGCTCTGCCAATTTGCCTCGGTTCATAAAACCGATCAAAGCCAAATTCAGGCTTCGTCTTGGCTTTTTCGCTGAACTGCATCAGCGCAACCCGATTGTTTTCTTTCCCGACGTGCAGTTCCAATACCAGTTTTTGCAAGAATGCCTTGACCTTCTTAATATTTCGATGGCCAACGCTCGAGGAGCCGTCGACGACCATTAAGATATCACGCTTTTGGTGGGCACATTTCAATGCTGAAATTTTTAAATAGAAATATTTAACAACAGTGAATGATTTCCCAGGCGGAAAGCCCAGCACAGTATGTGAACACGTTTCATACCTTTCGGTGGCCTTGCGTAACAGATTTCTGACGTCAGGGTTTTCACCAGATATGGTAATTTCTTAAAATTTGCAGTGAAGACATCGCTAGACCTGGAAGCCATCAATTTTAGATCTTCTCTAAATGTTGCTACGGTCGTTTCCTCGCCCATTCCTATAGCTATGATATGCACACCTTTCTCGCGCAACTTTCCCGCCTCTTCAAGAGCCTTCTTCCGGTCACGTGCTTCACCGTCGGTGAGGATCACGACAACGTCGGAAACGTTCGGACGGTATAAAACATTTTCAGAGAAAACCTAAAAATTTAAACATGAAGTTTTAAGATTTATGGGCAGTAGCTCAGTTGGTTAGAGCACTGCACCGGAATCGCAGAGCCACAGGTTCGATTTCTATGGAATTATGTGCGCATATGCTCACTTGGATTATCCACCAAACCCAGCATTCAACCAGGTTTTGTTTGCCTCTTAAAATTTATCTTTCTTTGCAAACAACCCTGTGTTGCCGTTGTATTTTCCAAACTCACTTATATTTCAATATCTGCCGTTATTAAAACACTCACCTCTGTATTAACAACCTCCAAAGCATTCCCAGTATCCGTTCCGCCTTCCTGATATGGCATTTTTGAAATGGCCTCTTTAATCTTCTCAAACGTATTATGTTCTCCCAAACTGAACTCGATCTTAGTCTTAAGGCTGTGACTGAATTGTAGTAGCCCCACATGGGTGCTTTGTGAGCCAACATCCAGCTGCTCAATTAATCTAATGAGAAACGACTTCATTTTTTCAAAGTACGAAAGTGTAATACTGCCTGAGCCATCCAGGACAAAAAATACGTCGTGATTTTGTCGCACACATCCTTTGGCTGGATCTGAAGGAAATATTGATATTGCGTTAGCAAGGAATGCCCAGGGGCGCCAGAGCCCCCGTCGCCCAAACAGTTCGGAGGCGCAATCAAGTACGCGGATGTGACGAGAAACAGCCTTAACTTTTACCGACTTCTACATGTATAATTATAAAGGACCACAGTTATTAAGAGCCTCAACAAGGAAGACGAAAGTGCAACGAAGACGGATATTAATATGATATTAATACAAGAAAATGAACATATACGAACAATTACAATCCCACAGGCAGTTTTAACTAAGACGTCGCTCTGTTTACAACGCTTAAGGCCCATTTCCACTCAGGAAAATTTTCCGCAGAAAGAAAATTTTGTAAAATGTGATTGTCCGACACAAATTTTACATCGAAGAAAAATTTTGAAGTTGAAAATTTTCAACTTTTAACAATGATATTTTCGGAAGATTTTCTGTCCGTAGAAATGTTTCTTCAGTGGAAATGAGCCTTTGCATTTCAAGCTGGGAGTCTGGGACAACTGCTACTTTGAATTGGATCCTAGAACCTTTCTCAATCATAAATCCTGTATTAACGTTGATCCTTAAACTGCATTATTTTTCATACAATGGATAATTATAACAACAGCTTTTCTTCGGCAATCATTAGGTTCAACGAGTTCTTCTGCAATCATTTGGTTCAACGCCACCGTGTTCCAGTCGTACATGCTTAATATCGTTAGTGCGAGGTCAGTATGTGGGCAACAGGTTGCGTTTTATAAGAATTAACTATACTTCGCAGTCGTACGTTATTCACATAAATTGAAATTGAGAAGTGTTTTCAAAGAATTTAGCAAACAAGTCGTAACAAAGCAAATGAAGCTGATATCAGGATTTGTTCACACTGCTTAGTCGTTATCACCTTGTTACAAGGTTGATGACGGTACCACACACACTTTTACACTCGCTACAAGTTGTTCCAAGAAGACTAACACACGCTATACAGGCTGTTCGTGACAAGTTGCTACGAGCTTGTTGCCATCAACTTGTTAACAACTTGTGACGCGTGGAGACGATATCAGACTTGTTGGAACAACTTGTTGCGAGTTTGTTGGCCTCATCAACCTTGTTGCAAGAGGATAACTTGTTCCAGACTTGTGAACAACTCACAACTGGAAACAAACGGTGCGAATACATTTCGTTAACAAGCTGTGAGATTTTTAGGCGTGCAGAAGACCATATGTTTTAACATACGTTTCCTTCAATCTTCCCAGCATTCGCTCTTAATTAAAGTAAAGTTTATGTAGGTCGAGAAAGAGTAAAAGTAACAAAAATCAAAGTACAATGGATTGCATAATTGGTCTCGATTTCAAGCTACTAATGTTTCGTGTGCATGATATCGATTCAAGCAAATTCGGGAGGTGTCTATTGTTACCTGGTCAGATGTCTCGAATTAGAAAAACATCCAGTATATTCTTTAGGGTCGAAACACTTCAAATAGTTCAAAGTACAAACAATACTCACGCATTGCACGAACAGAAGGACATATTCTCCGTTTCAACGTCCTTCTCAACTTCTTATTTGACTGAAGAGTCAAGACATTTTGTGGTATTGATGCAATGGCTGTCAACTCATCTTTTACATTCCACGCCATCTTAGTGCGTTGAAAATACACGGTGATAATTTCCACTTTTTTTTTCTTTAGTTTATGAGCTCGCTTTAAAACATCCTCAAGCTGAGTAGGATGAATTCTGCTTGTAAATATGATGAGTACATCACTCACTTTCCGTCGGTCGCCATCTTTGTTTGTGAACACCTAAACGTTGAGAAAGCGATTATAAGGTTGTAAATGTTACAGATCTACTTCATTTTGTCCCTTATGTCTATTCTTTCTACTTCAACCTATTCTCGTTCCTAATCTTTCAGCTCATTAATTTAATAGTTTATGGCTATTTATATTTTAGTGATCTTACGAAAAAAATCTTTGATGATGAGGCTGTCCTTTAGAGGTAAAATTTATTTTCTATTATATTTTATCCTATTCTATTATGTTCTTTTATATGCAATCCGATTGAATTTAGTTCTATTATATTTTTTGTTATTTACTATTATACTAAACAATACATTCGAATTTATTCTATTCCGTTCAATTCTACTGCATTCCATTATATTTTGTTCCATTCTATTGAAGTCTGCTCCGTCCAGTCAATCCGATTGAATTTTAGTTGTATTCTTTTTTTGCTTGATTTTATTATATTAACATTCCAATCGAATCTATTCTATTCCATTCCATTCAATTCTACTGCACCCATTATATTCTGTTCCATTCTATTGAAGTCTGCTCCGTCCAGACAATCCGATTGAATTTTAGTTGTATTCTTTTTTTGCTCGATTCTATTATATTAACATTCCAATCGAATATATTCTATTCCATTCAATTCTACTGCACCCACTATATTCTGTTCAATTCTATTGAAGGCTGTTCCTTCAAGTCAATTCTTTCGATTCTAATCTATTCTATTCAATTTCATTTCATTCTAGTTTATGCAACTCCATTCATTCTATTCATTTCATTTTATTCCGTTGTATCCTATTAATTAAATTCTATTCAATTCCATTCTATTATATTTAATGTACAGTTAAATAATTTTAAAACATGAGCAGCAGTGTTTTATCGGATATAAAGATACGAGGCGAAGCTGAGTACCTTTAGGTCCGATAAAACACGCACTGCGAATGTTTTAAATTGTTTCAAAAACGATCGATCTAGTAAGTTCATTGGCGAAATCATTTAAAAAAAATACGTTGTGTAAGTCGAGAAAATCAAAGTTACCAAGTTTATTTAAAATCAAAGTAAATTTGTGTTTTCCTCATGAATTATTAATGAGTCTTAAAGTAGTATACAAAGCATGCGCATGAAGCTGATCTGTATCTGATTAACAAAGCAATCCGAGAGCGAGCCATAGTAAATCAGATATAAAGATATATATTATATTGCCTATAATGCAAACGCATTCAAGTAATCAAGTTACCAACGATATGGTTTGTTTCAGGCAAGGTAAAGTTCACACTAAAACAAATATAGATTCCTATATAAGAAAGCTTCGGATTGATAGAGATTCAGCTATCTAAAAAATAGTCATCAGGAAAATTACATGAATTTTTATACTAGTGGATATAAAAGGCATCACGTGCCAAAAAATAAACCAATCAGATGGATTTAGCAAAAGAATTGTAAATTACACTAATATATTATATCAAATATACAGAAAACTACAACAAATATATTTTATATACAAGTATGTCAATGCTGTTTATATATAAGTATATGTCAATGTCTATAATATATAAGTAGGGGGGGGGGGTTCGAATGGGGAGGGCCCACATGAAATCCATGAGCGTGAGCTCACTGATATAGGCACACAACACATACGCACCTTGTTTTGCACAAGTTCCAAAGCATGCGCCATATCAGATCTACGCCTTTTGTGATGTTTGATTCGACCAATGGCATTACTCAAAGAATTTTTCGAGTCATATTGACCTAAACTGATCTCAATTTTTGTTTTTTGTTTACGGTCGACCAATAGTAAGCCAACATGAGTCTTGCCGAGACCTACGTCCAGGCGAGTTACGAAATCTTGCAAAAACGTTTTCGCTTGGTTGAATTCATCGGCACCGACTTTTCTCGATCCATCTACCACGATGAATAGATCTTGCTTCTTATGTGAGCACTTTCTGGAGCCTGGGGAAATAGATAACAATACAACGTTAAGAGTTGCGTGACATGTCAATTTTATGTCAGCAAGTCATGAAGTTATAATATTAGTGTCAAAATATAATTTGATACACACTTGAATTGTTCTTTTTCAAACTTTAAAAGTCATTCACAAGACCGGATTAACTGTTGTGATAGTTTGTTGTCTCTTTTAAATACACTTTAAATATATATTTTGTTTATGTTTACGTTTGCTATTTTTAGCAATTGACAATTATTGGATGAGGCTTGTTGTGACAAGTCTGTTAGTCTTGAACAAGTTGTTATCATCTTGTTACAAGGTTGGATTCAAGATTCAAGATTCAAAGATTTATTTGTGCCAACAATAATACATAGTTTAAAAGTATATAGTCATATAATTAAACAAATAATCGAAGCACAGGCTATTTGGAACAGCAAAGCTAATCTGGCCAAATAGCCCAGCATATTATTGGATTAACTATATATAATAGAAGGATGAGCAGATGGATGACTGTAACAGACTTAATTGCTACAAGCTATTCTGACAAGACTATAATACAAGCTGTTCGTATAACAAGTTGCTATGAGCTTGTTTTCATCAACTTGTTAACAACTTGTTACGTGCAGCGTAACAAGTTGTTAACAAGCTATACCGACAGCGATTTTTATTGGGTTGTCAGAACAACGAAATAGCTTCTTTTTTTTAGAAAATGTTTCTCAAAGGGAGCGTCTGCGACATGACCACTTTTAAAATTATCGCAAGACGTATTTTAAAAGCTTGAATAATTAACCTTCCAAAACTTTGTAATGAAGTAAAGAGAAAAACAAATTGTGGTAGGCCTATATTTCAAAGTGATATAATATGTGCCGTTACTCAGTCAAAGAGGTCAAACGCCAGACCAAGTGAAAATGGCTCTGGTGATGAGAATGATTATGATTAATTAGAATTCGAATTCGCAGGTTCTTGCTAATTCTCACGAGAATAGGAGATCCACAACTGAGGTCTCTGCGGGAACCCGCAGTGCGGCCAATGGCTCTTGTTTACCGCTCGACTAAAGTTATCAGTACTCCAGTTATGCATACAGCGTTCAGACCTCATTAGTCTGTCAAAGCATCTCTGTTCTTCCGGCACGTATATAAATATGTAGCAATAAAATAGACCTGATGACGATTTAAACCAGCTAAAATCGATATTATGGCAGGTTGTATGGCATTCTGGTTCAAAAACTGTGATGACGTTGCCCTCTTAACTTTCTAAACGTGCAGTGCCATAACATGGCAAAAGTTCGCACGGTGTTTTCGAGAGCCGTTGGCAAAAATAACTTGCACAAAGAAAACGTTACACCTAATTTAGCTTTCGAATCGCTTATTTACGTCTAAATTTATCTCACAGCGGTTGGCCAAACTATTTTAATATATACTTTATATACAAGGAATCCCCTTTAATCGCATTAATCGTTTTCAAAATCACTATTGTTCTCGACTGTTCTGCAGTTTGATTTCGAAATGGACATGAATTCAATCCCGTGATGAAACCGTACGATATTCGGCAGTATGTGCAAAAGGAGAAACTATAAGTGATTTAATGATGACTCATTGTATCTCTACAGTATGACATGTCGCCTAGTACTTGTTTTGTTTAGCAAATATCGTCGTTAAATCAGCCGGGGAGCGAGACAAAGAAAGTCAACAGGCAAGACGAAAGCGACCTGCTGCGTTAAGTATAAAATACACCTGGGCCAAAACACGCCATAAATCTTTTCACTTTTGTCATATTTTCCCACATTTAGCAGGCATGTTAACAACACTATGTCGCAGCAACAGTTACAAGTATACAGTTACACACCCGCCTCGCAACAACAACTCTTTTTTTGTCACAATATAGAGATTAAAGTCTCCATTTCCTGATTTCGCATGCTGACCCGAATTACTTTATTAAACATTCTTCAAACGCTTGACGTATACAAAACGGAACAAAAAAACTCAAGGAAATGCAAAGAATTTGCAGCTTTTACACCCCTGTCGAGGGTCAACACGTTGAAAGTATTAAATACAATCCGAATATCTCAAGGGAAAAGAATTATATACATTTGGCAATTTGTTATTAAAATAAGCGGCAACTTCTTTTAGACTTGAGACTCTTGAGATTCTTAATTTGAGAACTTAATTTCGCAGAAATACAGACAAGTCACGCAATCTATATCACCAAACACAACAGAATTATAAATTCACATGCAGACAACAAAATAAAATGTGTCCAGGCAAAACTTTTATTAGTTATTACTAATGAAACGTCTATGACTATATTGACTATAATCGAGTAGATCGAAGTATATAGCTAACCAGCTGCTCATTATAGAATCAGAGCCATGCAGAGGACGATTTTTACAATATATATCTTCCTTATAACTGTTAAGGTGGTTTAACATTGAAAATCAAAGTTTTAGACTGTAAGTAGCCATGAAAGAGAATTAAAGCATCAAATGAAATCAAAGTGGGAATGCCGATTCAACATTAGCATTTAAATGAGTTTGATTGCAGACGATAATCATGTCACGTCCAGTATTAATCCTCGAAATAATCCACAACTCTAGCCGTTATTCACAGTGAAGAAACAAAATAATAAAGTAATTATATAGAAATATAGAATTGATAGTCGAGAAGACAAGATAATTAATTTAAGGCATAAACTTTTAATGCATACGTTTTACCAGAGGCAGAGACATAACATATGCCTTAAATATAGACCATTTGACATAGTTTTATATGGACACAGGCTAGTATATCAAAAGTTGAATTATAAAACAATGGCAGTGCCGACATAATTAATATGGCAAAACTCAAAATAGAACCATATCATATCATATATATTAGATAAAAAAACTAGACAAAACCATTCAAAAGGTCACTTTGGAAAGCTCCCGAAACCATGCATACAGCATATCTTGTTTACACAATCAGAATATGAGCCTATTCTTGACTCTTGGGCCAGACAGTCTGGACAAATTAATTTAAAGGCATAAAGCAATCAGTTCAGGAATATAATAGGAGGTTAATTCATGTTGAATTTTATAATTTTCAAAATATATATATAGTCGCATTTATATACTTTCGAATTCCTTAACAGCACAAAATAGTCTGCAAAGACTTCCCCCCTTAAGTTAAGGATTCTCATCAATTCAAAATAATATCTATCATTATACCCAGATTTGCATTAGGCACTGACTGAGGTTCATGTTTAGGAATCAATGCGTTCTAAAATTATTAATATTAGTAAAATCTGAATGGCGTACCCTCAAATTAAAACCGACTTCTGGAATTCAACCCACGCACTTGTTGAGTAAAATGGCAACATAACAACAAGCACAGATATATAGATATAAAATATACTGCGTAACTATAGCGCATTCAAAATAACCGTTTCTCCCGCAAAGGGAAATCTTAACCTAAGAGCTTACAGCGAAATCTCTTCAAGGAGGAAAACATACGCAAAGAGCAAAACATTTGGAAAAAAAAATGCTGTTTTGCACGTAATAGAACTATATATATTTATGTACAGTAAAGGTATTAATATATATATATATATATATATATATATATATATATATATATATATATATATATATATATATATATATATATATATATATATATATATATATTATAGTAACTACTGCATCATTTTAATGGTCGACTAACAACCATATTTGTAAGACTATTATTGATGCCTGCATGTAGGTAGTTTAATATATATATATTTATAATATATATATATGCATGGTGACGCTCCATTATATATATTACAACTAATAGAGTTTAATTTGAGTCCTCACAATTTTTATTTCCTTGTCTGTGCATGCGTTTCGCCTTTTAATAATGTCCTTCAAACATTAGTCAAGCAAAAACCAATTGCACGTAGCTATATATAAATATATATAGAGAAAGAGAGTTAGCACTCAAGGACGTAAAATCATTATCGAATTACTGAAGGAAAACTATAATGTATAAACAGAGAGGAGACGCGTACTTAAAGTGCACTGAAATTTACACATTGGGATTTATTTTGTCGATTTCAGGTCCACTTACATGTAAGTATACAAAACTGGCCTTGCGATATCAGTAATTATAATATTCAGCTTTAACATTTAGCAAAACCTGAATTCTGAAATCAGTCCGTGCCATACTATAGTCACCCTATAAAAGAGCAGTTAAGTTGACCGTACCTGGATGTATAGCATGTTATATAAACCGCAAATCCGGCTATATAATAAACTAACAACGCTATGTAAATAATAAAATACAAAGTATAGTAATATTATAAGTAGCTTACCTTCCGCGGTTAGGGAAAACACAGCCAAAACCGTACAAATCCTTAAAGCAAACATGGTCTAACCGATTTAGTAACAGTGAAATGATTTTCTTGGCAACCCTGTCAGTTGTTTAAATACATTTCAAATTCTTTGTCCGCTGCAGTCTTCCGGAGTGTGCCGTGTCACTTGTTTGAACAAGTTTCGCAAATTCTAACGCGGTTGTATCAACATTTCAGGCATGCATACATTTGAATACGTAATAGCGCATTAGTGCAACCATAACAAGTAAGCTTTATGTCGGTGTGATAAGCATCAAACACGTTTTGGGTGGCATGTTGGCACAGAAGAGGATTTTACGCATGGTGGGTTAACAACACTAGAATCTCAAAGTGCCCTTGGAGTCATTTAGAAACCGCAACGGTTTGAGCTGTTAAGATGAACTCATATTTAAGCTCTGTTTATAAAATTGTTTAAAATATAAAAGAGTAACCAAGGATACATCAATATCGAACGTTGCATTCTACAGGGACAACGCTTTAGGTACTTCCTATGGCCCCACAGAGATAATGGAATTTACTTCTGGTGCCACCTGTTATTTTTATACTATCCATGATAACGAAGATTGAACACTTGTTTTGTCTTCGATTTCGTTATCTCTCATACCTGAAATTGATTGTCAATTTTAGACACAAAACATCTTCATATATCCTTCGTCAGTGCAAGCCGTTCTCCTTTGCGACCGGTTTCAAGTCCTCAAATTGAGTGTTTGATATTCTAAAGGGAAATGACAATGTATAAAACTACGTTTGTTTTATTTGAAAGAACTTTTAAAATGGTATACTGAAGACCCTTTAAACTAAGTTTTCGTATCGATGTTGAATATATTTTTACTTTTATTTTGAGAAAGAAAGAGAAATTTCTGAGTGCCAACCACATTTTATTGATGTTCCCGCAACTAGACTTTTTAGGGTTTTTTCCATTTCCAATTGGTCCACAGCATGTTAATTAAAGAAATATTTGTCATTAAAATGAAGTCAACTACGTAGTAATTTTAACAGTATACCCCTGCTGTGACGTCATCAAAACTCCAATTAATTAGGTCACTATTGTGATGTATAAAATTTTGTTGCAAATGTAAAGTAATATTAAGTGATATTATGATATCAACTATATGTATTTCAAGGCACACCTTATCTCCAAATTAAACTACCACAAAGCATAGTTTTGCCAAAGAAATTTGTATGCTGTAAACTACGGCAACAAAGGACGTCACGATGTCGGTCAAGACAAATTAATAATTAACAATTAGCTTGTGTTTGATAATTGCCGATGTTTGTTTATGGATCAATTTTGTGGTTGGCTCGCAGTAAGGTGAGTTCACGACATGAGTTTGTTAATTGCTCCGATACATCATTTTCAGTCAACATTAATAGCCGCATTACCTTCAACTGATAGGTATATCCACTTTTTAGTGAATCTATACTAAGAACACTGCTAGCTTTGAGGGAAATGGCAGCTATAATTATTCATACGACATTGAAGTTTTCAAACGCCTTGTTTTGGTTTTTCGTGGTTGCTTTTCCGAGGCAATCAATCAGTTCCTCTCCAAACTCACCCCAGTCCACAAGGTTCCCGGTACGTCGAAACGGTGCATACCAGACTGAATTGCCACCAATTGCTTTAATTTTTTATCAAAACATCTTCTACAGAGAAGATCTTTCTTAATTAATTAATTAACTTGCATTGACATAGAATTCCAAGAGGCTACTTATGGTGCATAATGGACTTATAAGGATAGTTACTGGAAATATTATATCGTATTAGATATGTATTTAGCAGGGGTGTTATTTTTTCAAAGGAATGTCGCTAAGGAATAAATATTCCAGCTAAAAATGGCATATACTCAAACTGAAAAAAAGGATTTCTTTCAAATGGATTGGGTAGGCAGTAAGAAAAATGTCTGACACACGTCTATAAATATATTTTAGGAAATGGAAGTATTTTATTTTTTGCACACGACGGCATTTTACGTGGGCACGCAATACCAGGGCAACGACGTGTGTGGAATGTAGGGGGGGAAACTCACACCCACAGCAAGTATGTACACTTTGAAATAAGAGACTTTCTATATATTACTATTATTATCCTCAACTATAAGGGTTGCGTTGGTAGTGATTGTATTTAAATTTGCATTGTTTAAAAGGGTATGGAAATCAAAAATCACTTTCTTCTATTTGGCAAAAAAATTGAAATTAGTGTGGCTATATTTCTTTCTTCAAAGCTTTTCTTAGTTCGTCGTGTATTTTGACCGAAATCATCATAAATCAGTGAACTGTTCGCCATTTTGGATTGTTGCGGATATGAATGTTACGTCAGGAGCATGGACACAATCAAATATTTTACACAGACAAGCAATTGTCATTATAAGCCCAAAATTATACTTTATCACATATTTTATACGGTTATAACCCTGCTTGTTAAAATCGTTCATGAAACCAAGAAATAATCCAATTAGATTGGCAGACAGCTCATTGCTTTTAGTCAAAATATTTCATTGAAGAACTATGCAATAGCATAATTGCATGCATGCATCGTATTGATTTGTTTTTATTGCATTGTATATTCTAGTTGGTACTTTGCAATATCCTTTGAATTGTTGCAACACAAAGACTGCTACTCAAGATGTAAACCGCAAGTATCCACTGTTGGGTATATTCAGCAATCAATTGAGCGTCGTCTGTAGATATTAAAGAAGTGTCGCTCTACTGCTTGTGAAGGGCGCACGCCATACGATTTGAACTGGACGAAAATTATTACCAAAACCGTGGATCCTTCCTCTCCACAAAAACACGTGCCATGTTTTCATGTAAAACATTCAGGAACGCGACTAAATTCCTAACGTCGTGAAATCGACAATTTGGAAATGGCGACATCTGATTGGTTTGCGGGATATTGTTCCGAAATTAGCTGATATAATATTAATATTAATTCTAGCAGTGATATGCGCGAATGTTTTGACACCGAAAAAATACACGTTTTTCGGTCGAAAAGAAGGACCGCAGCTTTGGTAATATAATCATTTTAACCCAATCACAAAGTTATTCGTTTATATACAGGTAAAATTACGCATGACCAAAAGCTATTCAATCCAATATCATGCACTTATTTCCCAAACCTTACTTGATATTGGTTTGCTGCTAATACGCTGTATAAAATAGGAAGTTTTTCTGTTGGTTTGAAACGATTGTTCTATATACTATGGTTCTTTGAGGACAAAATCCTTTATTGTATACCAAAAAGAAACTTTCTATGCAGTTGCCTCAATTTCTTATGATGGCCAACCCGAAAAGGAAGGACAATATGTTGTAACTAATGAGCTCCATACTGCGTGGCAGTACAGCCAATCCATTTCTATTGTTTTTGTCTGCGCAGTTAATACGAAACAGCAAGGAGTGTGCCGAAATTTGGTTTTATGAACTGATAATTGATTAGCGATACGATCCGTTAGAAAAAACCTGGAATTAGCTGGGGTAAAATGGTATAAAAACTGTTCACGATCTTCATAGATTTTGGACGTCAATTTCCTCTATCTTGGCTTCTCTTTTCTCATAGGCCGAATGAAGTTCTGACCTTCATGGACAACTGAATGGTGATAAAGTCATGAGTCACCATGATTAAATAAAGTTTCATCATCATGTTAAGGTGTCAACACATTACATATGTAACACCACTATATATCAGAATTTTATTTGGACAGGATAAAGTAAACTTATATGGAACAGTGTTTGTAAAGTAGCTCCTATAAATACTCCCTCTAGTGCATGTCCTAATGATTAAAACATTACCATCATAATGCTTATTCTATATGTTAGTTTCTGCTGTAGTTGGTGTAAATCTGCTGTGTACTTGGTCTATATCACGTGATTGTCCTTCTCACTGAAGTTGACTGTCTCATTGAATGAACTGTCGTTAGCAACTGCATGTTTATTCTATATATTATGTACGTATTTTGTTGGAAAGGTACCTCGCATGGGTAGTGTAATCTATTTTGCCCCATTCGCATCTCTTCCATTTGGGTATATTTTTCTGTCTATATACGAGTTGTTCATTTAATCCAATAAAGTTCTCTATTAACATTCGAATTTGACCACATCATGCACGTGTAGCATGAGTGAAAACGACCTGTGCTGGAAAGGTGCCAATACTTGATACCTTCACGGCTACTACAGATATTCATTTCGCAATACTAAACTCCAGCTACAAGTATGTAATTAAGAAGCAAATGGCTTACACAAAAAGGCCTGGAGGAAAAGCTTTATATGGTTGGAGCTAGGAAAAGCTTTATAAAAGGTAAACCCACTTCATAAACACTCTGTCTTTATAAGCAAGTTATTATTTATAAACACTCTACCTTTATAAACACGCCTATTCCATGGCTGGAGGAAAAGCTTTATCAAGGTAACAGGCGTGTCCTCAAGAAAAAATTGGCAATGCATCATTATTTGAAGTGCACTGACTGGTCTGGAAATATTTAACTCTTTATAAGGAGGTGCCCCTGCCCTGTAATTAGAGAGCATGGAAAATACAACGGCAACTGCAAGAACGACGTGTTCATTAACAACAGCATTTTTATTCTATAGGGTCAAGGAGACGATAAATTGTATTCCCTGTCCCTTGATGGTTCCAGTACGCCCTTTTGGTTTATAAAATTACGATATTTCCATTATGAAAATAACTGCGGAAAAGATTCAATAATCAGATCATAATCTTGGCAATGTATACTCAGTCTCTGAAGTGCACTGGACTAGTCTGGAAGGGGAAGTATTTTGTTTTTTATGAGGAGGTGCCCGTGCTCTGTAATTAGAAAGTTTGCGAGAGAATAGCATTTTTACTCTAGGACAAAGGAAACTATGAATTGTGTTCCCTTGAGCCAACACCGTTTAGTTTAAAAACTATATTTGCACCATGAAAATAAAATTCAATAATCAGACCATAATCTTGACATTGCATCAGTCTTTGAAGCACACTAGACCACTTTGGAAGAGGAAGTACTTAGCCTTTTCGGAGGTTTTCCAAACTTTGCATTTACAAAGAAGATGCCAATTAGATAGGGTGGTGCATTTACGGAAGAATATAAGAACTTACTATTTATTTCCCATCATGCATATCGTCGTCATAGGTCGTGAGTTCAAATCCTGGTCGAAGCAGCACTGAAAATTTATACTGCCATTTATACCGTTTTCAAATATGCGGTCATTTTGCCCGTGTTGGAATGTAGTTTAACTTTTATGCGTGCACCCAATGACTAAAGGCTAATGGCT